GTAGCCATGGAAGTGATTGGAACATCTGAATTCAATGATTCGGACAGGGTGTCCCAATACTTTTGGTAATATAGTGTAAACTGTCAGATCACACAGTCCTATTTATCAATGCAGTTATATTGTAAATCAAACGCTGTCAAGCTTTTTGGATGTAAGGAACGTCAAGCTAGTGTAGATCATCTGCCTTTTGCTTATTGCTCACACTTAATGGAAGAGCTGGTGGTGGAGGGGGAGTGGTTATCTGCTCTGTCATTTTTGCAGCCATGTAGCCACCAGACTTTCTGTGGAGAGGGCTATGGACTAACACATCTCCAGAATTTGGTCACCATACCAATTATTAAGGGAAACTTACTTAATGTCTTGCAGACCTTGGATAGATATACTGTTGATGTACTATGATTTCCAATTGAGCTAAGAACCCAAGTGGTTTCTTTCGGTCATCCAGGGGTGATTCAAAGTCAGTTGAATCTGAAAATGTACTTTTGGCTTGCATACCAAAAACTTGCAAACAAATGGATTCATTTGGATTGCCAAGAAAAACTTCACATTCGCACTTGTCTTCTTTTGGACTTCCCCAACTGGATGCACAGCACAGAGAAACACATACAGCAAGAACAACATTTACCAGATACAAAAACTGGCTTTAGAAAGTCATAAAATATCATATTGAAACCAGGGAAGTCTTTGGATTGTGCATTAAAACCACCATTTCCCCCTCCTATGAAAGCAAAATGCCAGCATTTTAAGAAATACTTTCCAATTACTTTACATTCAGATTGCACTTTAATCTTGGAGCTGTGTCTAACAGTATCCAAAATATTCTTTATATTGACCCAATTAGGTTTCTAATGAATAGATCTGAAAATGTCATCAATAAAGTATATAAAAATTAAACTACTTTTGTTTCAGGCGAACAATTCTTTACACTGAAATGGTTGACTTGTGTGGCTTATTTGTTGTGAGCATGGAACTGAATAAATGGTCTATAAATAGTATCAGATGTGGGAATTTGTATTGTGGTGGTACTCTAAGAGGTCTGTGGGGTGGTGATGGCGCAATAGATAAGACACATGGCTTTGGTGTGAGAGACCCGGGTTCAGTCCCCGACTATGACCCATCCACGTGCGACCTCAATTGTAAGTCGCTTTAGATAAAAGCGTCAGCTAAATGAATAAATGTCTGAGTTTGCTCAAATTAAGTAAATTTAAGGAAGTCTTTCCTTTCATAAATAACCCTAGTACAAAATTACTCAAAATGGGTTTCTGGTCTCTATTATAGGATAAATGGATTTATGTAAAATAATGTGAACATGTAGTAATTTTTAATTATGAAAAAACTGGATTTAAATATGTTTACTTTAGGTTTTGATAAAACACCTATAGCTAAGACTCTTCAATCAAGTATCTGTAAAATGGCATTAAAATTGATTTTTCATCACAAACCCGTAATTTTACAGTAAGTTTTCTTTTTTAACCACATAAAAATGTGTGAACGCCTGTCATTTAACAATAAATTAAATATTATCTTTCTGTAATTTTACCACTTTGGGGCAATTATATAGTATGTTAATCTAAATTGTAATCTAAGAATTATAATAAAAGTCAAAAGCTGTGAAATTACAGTAATTATGGCTGTTTTCAATGATCAAAACTGTTTCGACAGTTTAACAATACTTGTAGACAATATATACTGATTAAAATAACATTTATTCAATGTTTTTATTTTCCAAATATCCATAATTAAAGGAGATATTTGTGAATTAACAAGAAAATCTATGTCAAGTTAGAGAACAAATGTTTTTTGCTACGGTTAACTGTTACTAATTGTACCAAGTTTAAGAAATGTTTTTACAGTTTTAAACTTATTTTTAACAGTTTTTTCTTTTAAATAATAAAAATAATATTTGTGAAAATACGGTATATTCCTGAATGTATTGTAACAGTTTCTTTACGTTAAAAAAACCAATTTTATTTTTTTTAAATAACAGAAATGTTATGGTTAATCACAGCTACAGGTTATTTTACATTAGACATGTAAATTCACAGTTTATTTTTGCAATTTTTTGATATTTTCATGTATTTCAAAAATACAGGAAAAAAACTGAAATAAAAAGGAATAAAACTTTAAAATTACAGATTTTTTTTACAGTGTACTTTAACTATCAAATGGATGGTTTTAACACTACTAAAAAGTGCTCTACATCTCTTTGAGGTTTCATGGCACAGATTTTAACAATAATCTATATTTTGTTAGTTAATGCATAAAATCAGTATTTTCCAAAACACTTAATAATAATATTTTCATGACCTTATGATGTAATAACAAGCACTTTATTAAAAGTATTAGCGCAGTGCCTGTTCACAGAGGTCGATGTGACGCCTTCCTGCGCTTTTGGTTCAAAATGTGCTTCTCATTGGTTTCACTTACAGCAAATAAATAAATACTTTGATAGGGGCTGGTAAGAAATAGATATCAGTCATGACAGCAACAGTTGCTCACATAATCACTTCCTCGTAAGTGATTGTGCCTACAAAATATAAACCTCAAAGTTTTTTGCAGAAATGTTTTATTTCGAGTTGAATTGTTAGCTTTTACTTTGAAAAGTTCTGAACAATATTCAAAAGAATCTCTTAAAAACAACCTCAGGAAACATGAGATTGGATTCCCCTGAATGAGAAGCATAGAAATTCCCTCTGAAACATGACAGTGGCGGAGATACCACTAGATATTCAGCGCTTCCTTAGGACTTAACATAAAATATAAAACTCTTACAACTTTTTTTCAACACATTCGTTTCTAACATATATCAAACCTGCGTGATGACGATAACAACCCTCAGGGGGTGTGCAGAGGACAACGGGGGGCACTGGAAACAATATTTTAAAAAGGGCTGCCCTTGGTGGGCGATTGTTTTAAGGCGAGTTAACACCAAACATTCACAACAATACAAGTTCAAACTTTCAACCACCTGCAAAAAACTGTGGTCTGCAACATTGAAACCTTCACGAAAATGGGAAGTCAATTTCACCCACATGGCGTTTACTGTGTTACTGGGAAATGGACAAAATCTTTTTATCTGTGGAAAAATGTCTCTCTCTTAATGCTCAAACTTTTCCTCAGACCCCCCACTTACAAAGTGCCCCATCCAATATTTAAACAAAATAACCCCATACGTTCACTAGAATACAGCTTCTGGGAGAAACATTCACTCATTAATTAAATATAATTTCTTTTCACATTGCTTTTTTGCCCTGGGAAACTAATATATCTGTTTGTCATTCAATGATGTGCTTTTTTGATGATTTTGAACAATAATAAAAATCAATAACATTCATAGCAATTAGCCTACATCTTATTTGTTGGGGAGCGATAAGAGACTTTGATAATGGATACGGGGGTGCTGGCCCAAAAAAGGTTGAGAACCACTGTTCTAGGTTAAGGCCAGTAAAGTGGACCTAAGAGGGAAAACCTACAGGCACTAGGGGGAAGAGAGAAACATAAAAGGGACCAAAAGTTTTTATCCTTCAGATTAGGTGTTGATGTGTTCACAGGTTGTATGCTGGCACTGTATCTTCTTGGCAGGGCTCAATAAACCATGCTATGCTAAGTATTCATCAGTCTCCGAAACTTCTTCACACCTCAACCTGGCTCACAACAGCCCTCACATTTAAATATTACACATCATCATGCTGCAGCGTAAGGTAGTAACAACGGGCCCCAGTGCAGGCTGTTATGATGGGCCCTTGGGCTACACCATTACGAAGCACACACACTGCGTGCGTGTCTTGAAGGGAACCCTATCTTGGCCAATACATGTGCCTTGTTCCCTCCCTCAACTGATAAGATTGCAGTAAATACCTAATTTAAAGTTCCTTAAATTGATTTCTTTCCATATTACCATATTAAATTCAACAGTTCTCTTTGTGTGCATCTCTCTCCAACACACACACAAAGGCTGCCGCTTTTTTTTATATTTCACCGTATACCTTATAGCCTAGTGCTTGCTTCAGACTTTTGAAAAAGTCTGTAGCTGTAATAGACACAAAAGTCTGTGGTGTCAGACACCACAGCAAAGGGGGAATGCATATAAGTGTATAAATAACACTTGATCGCCTTTAAAACCACAATTT